TTCTTCTATCAAGTGTTTCAAATACTATCATATGTCCTCTGAATTTTAACAATAACACATTTTAATGCAGTTTTTTATAATTGTTTCATGTTTCCCAGGACTACCTTATCAGATGTAAACATGCCTCTTGAGTTTATGTTCTATGTTACACATTAATTTAATTATTGAAGTTCTATTTAAAACTAAAACATTAAATGTAGATACTATAAGGTTGATTAGCTTAAATAATAATTTCAAGAAGAATGAAAGGCTAGTTTGTGTTAACAAAAATTTTAAACAATTATTTAGCTCAAGTAATGTATAAATGAGAAATGATTGTGTTTGTAATCACAATTTTGCAAAGGTATAAGTATTCTTCACTTTTGAAGATGTGTTTGCTCTTGAGAGGTTTTGTTAAAATATAGTTAAAAATACATGATTTACAGTGTGACTCATCACTAGACTTGATCATCTGTGAGTTGAAAAACTTACAAATGATTTTGCCCTATTTGGTAAATTATGAATTTCTTTTTTATTTTAGTGTGCAAATGTATATGGATCAAAATTAAAATTTGAAGAACTTGTCTCAAACCTGTGTGTGTTATAATTTGTAGAATATTCAAAAGGCCTTTGCCATTTCCTGGATATTATTTATTATCTTGTCAATCTGTGAAAAGCAAGATTTTTAAAACACTTTGGATAATGTGTAACTCCATTTGTCCCTCATGAATGTCATGAATATTCATGCAAATAATTGGCTATAATTTTAAATTAGATATTAAAGACTTACACCTATTCTATAAGCATTTCTGTGAGAGATTGTCTTAGCTAAAGATACCCAGGCTCTTAATTTCCTCTTGTAGAGTAAATTCTTAGTTTTATTATTTTATGTGTACTACTGTTTTAGATAATAAGAATCAGTATGGTATCCATGTTAGAGTGGCATGTTACCATTAGAAAATTTGCTTTACTTAATTAATTAAAGTTTCCATTTGACTGTTGTCATTTAATTGCAATTTATATTAAGGAAGTGGTTCATAGCTGCCCAAATAGTCTGAGTTTACCTTATTTGTATTTTAACAATTGATACACCTTCTATACTTTAAAGGAAATTATTCTATCTCCAGAATGTAAAATAAAACTGATAATCAGTATTAGATGTATAGGTAATAAAATTCAAGAGTATAAGCAATAATGATATGAATTACATTAGCTTGCCTTATTATTTACATTTTTGTGTTGCTAGTTAAGAGAAAGGCAAAGTATTACCTATCTTTTATTTTCTTAGTAAAAAGAGCTTCTTTTTTAGCCATTAGCATTTCTAGAAGTTTAACTATTCCAAGTAAATAACACTTAGGAATGTACAAATAGCTAAAATTTAGTTTTTCTCTCTTGTATAGACTTTATGATTGAGCAAATTTCCATAATCCAATAGTTAGACTTCTAATATTTTATTTGGGAACATTTAGAGAAGTGAATGTGCTACATTATCCTGTAATTGGAGCTTCAGTTACATAATGATGGCCTTTTGCCAAAATTAAATCTGACAAGCAACATTGGCATAATATATTAAATGCCAAGCTACAGAAACAGCACCCCAGAAAAAGGGGCTGATGATTCAAGCTTGGCAGAGTCTCCTTGTGCTCAACATTAAGAACTAGCTTACAGGCTGGTCGTAAGTGTTGGAAAAGGAAGAATTCTTCCTTGCAACATGTTCCTTGAGTTCAAAAATGTAATGGAGATGTGAGAAAGACTGTTGATAATTACAGATCTAGAAAACAAGGTCAAGAGATGAACTTGGAAGCTACCAATAAACAAAAGCCATAAATGATCATATAATGATTTTTTAAAGGTTTTAGATAGTTTCTATCTGAAGACCATTGGCCCTTATCCTCTATCCTTTTCAGTAATTTTTTTGACTTTGTTTAGGTTTGCTAATTTCTCATTAAAGCTATGAGATGAATAAATTTTAAAAGTAACAAACTTCATAGGAAAATTCATGAGTAAATTCAATTCAACTCATGCCCTTACCGTTTGATCTTGTCCTTATAACCACAGTTGTTGTTTTTTTTTTCATAGAGCTTTACCAATTCTGGTCTGTAAATTCACCCTATACTGCAGTGATTGTACTATGTTTCAACATCCATAATAAAACCATCAGAGGTCCTAAGTGTTATTTTATTCCACTTTAGAGTGAGACTTTACAGTAATACATTTTCTTATATAATCTTTATGAAAGAGCTACCACATATTCAATTAATAGTATTAGACTCCAACATACCCGTTTTATTTCACAAATGTGTAACTTGAGGATAAGGGAAAAAGGTAAATGAATGAATGAGTCCAATAAGAAAATAAGTGTGAGACATGAATTTTACTTTGAGAGAATACATCATACAATGCTGCAGAGGTTAAGAACCCTGCCAATATCCAGTTTTGAGCATCTAAATCGTCTTGGCTGCTCTGCAATCACAGGATCTGAGCCACTGGATACAGATATGTATATATGTGTGTGTGTGTGTGTGTGTGTGTGTGTGTGTGTTTAGTTATATATTGCTACATATATATGTTACATATATATAATACCTCTATAGTTTACATCAAACTATCCATCCATATCTGAGCAGTCCCACTCTCAAAAGGAGGAGACCTGCACAGACCACTTGGTCCAGATAATAGGGCTTCCTGAAACACTCATTCCTCTTACTTCATGTTGGGTTAGTAAACACTCATTAAATAGAAAGAATATCATCTTCCTGGTATGGATTTTAGAGGTAATGTGATATTTTAATAAAGCGTTACTACACATGACATTCCTAGATACTACTGAGTAGAGTTCAGTGTACCTGAATATTAAAATGATATTCTCTATTACTAAAATAGTTTTTCTGAATTCATATATTATATTCCAGGGAAATCAGAATGTAAGGACATACAATAATACAGATAATGATGAGAAAAAATTTTATTTTGACATAGCAATAACTTCCACCTACTATCTTAATATATGTACTGACTATCCATTCTGAAAAGTTTTCTTTTTGTGCCTCCAATGTCTTTTCTGTATCTGGTTTTATATAGGCATTTTTCCAAAATATATCTGTGTGTGTTTTTCCTTTTAACTAAAATGGAAAAAAATAATCTAATAGGAAAAGAAAGAAAATTTATGTTGAGTACTGGGAAATAATTTTTTTTTTCACAGAGAAAGAGGATTAGCAATGTCTTACAGGTGAGGAGAGGGGAGGTATTTATATTTAAAATATATTGCTTTTGTAACCAACATTTTTCTTTAAAATGTTTAAAATATGTTCAGGTCATTAAAAAAATACTTTTTGATTAGCAAGAGGAACCTATTTGGGATTTTAATAAATTTCAACTCAAATATGAGGAAGTTATGAAACACATAAGAAAATTTCTTAAACTGGAAATGTTTTAAGGGTACATAAAAACTGAACCATCATTTAAAAGATTAAAAAGTCCTCTTGCAGTGACTTCTCACCATTCCAGAACATCTTTTAAAGAGTAGAAGGGACTTTTTATGATACCACAGAATAGGTTAGTGTCATAATACTATAAACTCTGGTTATGATTATGTACAAAGCAGTATTAAATTGAGAAACCATGTAGAACACAGGTTACAAGCATGGGTTCTAGAGATGCTTGTTTTTGAATTCCAGTTCCTATACACTTATAGCTGTCTATGCTATTTTATTTCTTTTCACTTTCTGTATAAGGATAATAATATTACATATCATGGGGTAGTTATTATTACTTAAGCAGCTGTGAGAAATTGTGAAAGAACAGATGCTCTCTCTTTCCCTTTCTGGATTATTTTTGAAGAGGGAGACTGAGACTAATGATGATTCATTTTCAGGGAAATATGGTTATCAAGGCTTTAATTTTAATGGTATTTGTAATTAATTAGTAGACCAGAACTTAAATATTAGTAAGGGTCCTTTATGGCTTCCAATGGGCATTCTAACAAACCATGCTACATTGCACTGGAGAGAAAAAAAAGAGGGTAGAATTTGCTTTGCAATCTCAGGTGGCTTCAAAGGAACTGACTTCAAAACAAAGGCACCCAGGGATGTTGAAGAAATATTACTAAGGAAAAGAAGGAAAGCATAAATAGAATTAGGCATTTCATTTTCTTTAATCAAAAACAAAATGGTTTCATTTCACATTCCATTCTGACAAATTGGTAGTCTTCATTGAGTACTGCTTTGAAAAAATCTCTTGAAATGATATTTATATTCTTCAGGAGAGTGGATGGATTACAATATCTGTTACAGGTGACAAAAGGGGAGGTAGTGGTAAGCAGTTCATCAGACATGTTTCTATTCCAGATTATAGAGTAAAAGAACCTTAAAACTGGAACATTCCCGGAGATAATTCCCCTTTCAATCTAATTGTTAGAATCTCCCACATGTTTGAAATATAAGTCACATGGCCAACTAGATAGTGAGTTTCTTCAGAACAAAAAACTAGGAAGAATAGGTTGAATTTGCAGGCAAAAAATACTTGAGTCAATAAAAATGATTATTTCAAACAAGTAAAGTTCTCCAACAGTGAATATGCTTCCTTTTAGGTAGTCAGTATCCCTTCTGAGGAATTGTTTAAGAGAAGGCTTGGCATATTTTTCCTGAATTAAATGGAAGTGATTAGAATAGATAATTTAGTTTCCAATCTATTTTTAGAATTCAATAATCTCATAACTGTTTCAAGTAACTTAACAGTATTACACAGGAAATAGACATTTATTAGAAATTAATTCCTCATTCAAAAAGTTCAAAATAGAACATGGACTATACTGCTGGATAACCCCAAACATCAAAGTTTCTTTAACGAAACACTAAAATGTAGTCTTCAAATGTAAGTTCATTATGATGAATTGTAAAAGTATGCTTGAGCAATACTGTGAATGTGAAAATAATGAGTAATAAAAGTTAAACCAGTAACTGATTAGATATGGCAAGATTTTTAACACATACTCTAAAATAGATAATGTCCTTGTGTTATAGAATATGAATGATGAGCCTCCGATATGTAACCCACCACATCTGGAAACTCAGATTAATTCTACAATTAAGATTCCTTTTATTCAGCTCAACTGTTCAGACAAAGATTCTCCACAGGAAGAGCTGAGCTATTCAATTGTTAGAGGTAAGACATGATTTCAAATAAGTCACTCCTATGCTATTTAAAAGATGCCCATGTGAGATATTTTATAACTGTTGGAAAGATATCATGATATTTTTAAATAAGAACTTAAGTGAGACAATAGAAATAATAGAATATATAATGTAGTTTTATTTCTGTTTTATTACCTCATCATTCTCAGGAAATACAAATAATCAATTCACACTTTGGAGACAAGGTGTTGATCCTCCTTCTCTGGCCACCACTCAGAATTTCCACTATGATGTGTATCAAGGGACTCAGGATCCTATGACTTTCCAGCTACTTATTGAAGTTACTGATGAATTAGGTGGGAAAAAAGCTAGTCAGCTGTCAGCCACTACAACAGTCATCATTCATGTGTTTCCTTGGACCACACTGCAGCCAACTTTTTCCACAAAAACAACTACAGCTACAGTAAGTACTTGATGATGAAATATCATTCTAAAGTAGTATGAATTATTAATAAACACAGAATGTATTTGGGAACTCTTATAAGAGTTATACTTATATTTTGGCAATGAAAGACAACAATGAAACATTTACTTTAATACATTAGAATTCATACCATCAAAATTAGGAAAAATTATTGTAGCTATCAGTTATTATTTTGAGTCAAGGCAAATATATCAATGTTAATAATTTTTATAGGCTCTTGTGCTAGTATTTAATTTATATTCTAGTAATTCGGTTGACTCTCATCATAGTATACTTTTCGCTATTAAAATGAAAATTCATGAAGGTTTTCTTATATGCATAGCGCCATATAAGGTTTATAAAAATACATGGCATTTGTTTCCTTTAAAGGTATACAGTCTCACTGGAAGACAGGTGTTCATTTAGGCTAATTTAAATATATAATAGACCGTGTCAAATAAAAATGAAATTATTTAACTTTGAGGTTGAAACTAAAGTAAGTTTATTTGGGCTGCGATAGTAAGTTCTCCATAAATAGAGGAGGGAAAAATAATGTAGTTCTTCAAGAACAAATATTCTTTTTCTTTTTTCAAGTACATAGAAGAAAAGCTTTGTAAGGAGAAGGAGTAGAATTACCCTGGAAAGAATATAATATATTCTGGAGAATGTTGAGAGAGCAGTGAGGCTGGGGGCTAGATTTGTGTCAGGAAAATGACGCTCACTGTGAATATGTAAAACATTTCAGCATGGGACATCTTGAATGTAAAGATGAGAAGTCTGTATGATTAAGAAGACAGAAATTTATAACATTTTCACAGCAGAAAGACTCACAGCACCTCATTAACATTGCTAATGTGGAAATAAAGACAAAAGCAATGATGTGATAGAACTGGTTTGTGTGGAATATGCTGTTTGATTTCAAACAGGTGGAGTTTAAACAGCCAAGTAGATATTCATATCCTGCCCTTACTAACATTATTATGATGTTCTCTATATAACTGAGCTAACAAAATGAAAGATATTTGAATTAAAATAGCCATCTGTTGAACAAGTCACAGAAAATTCCTCCCATTGCTTGACTTCACAGTCAAGAAGTTTTGCATTAGCTATACAAAATCATCATAATGCAATTTGAATATTCTTGATCCAAAGAAAACAAAAAAATTGGATTACAGTGGTGTAGGACTGGTAATGCTCCCAAGAGCCTAGCAGAAGGAAATTAAAATTCTCTTCATGGGAAGGTAACAGTATCCTAGGCCTCCAATTATTTCTAACAATTTTTCAATCCAGTAAACACTACATGATTAAATATAGTCAGGCACATGAGAAAATAAGATGCCATAACCAAGAGGCAACAAAACCACAAAAAGCAGAAACAGATTCACAGTAATTTCAGAAATTTTTAAAAACTAACTGTAATATAATTATGCCTGTTAAGTTCAAGAGATATAAACCAAGTTTGAAATTTGGTTTGGGGTATTGGAGACTATGAAAGTAACATAGAATATTTGAAAATATATCAAATGCATCTAGAAATTAGAAAAAACAATTAATGAAATTAAACTTGATCATATTGACATACAGAATATATAAACACTGTGTCTGACAATTATGAAATATATGTTTTTTGAACATTTACAAAATTTGATCATATATTAGGCTATAGAGCAAGTCTCAACACATTTCAGTTAATTGAAATGATGTTTGGTATTATCTGTGATCTTAAATATTTATGCTAAAGATTAAAGTGAACAGGTATTTAGAGAATTCACTATATCTTCAGAAGACAAGGGAATAGAAAATATTTTGAAATGGATAAATGAAAATACTGCATAATAAAACTGTGGGATGAAGTTAAAACAGAAGTGAAGACAATGTATTTCCCCATAAGTACCATTTTAACTTCATCTCCCAAATTTTAGTATGTAGTATTTTTGTTATCATTCATTTAAAAATATTACCTATCTCCTTAACACTTCAACTTTTCCCTCTATGTTATTTAAAACTGCACTTCTTATGAAGTTAGAAATAAGACAGCACAATGAAACTCAGAAATTTTTAAAATAAAATAATGAGATAACTAAAATTAATGAAATAGAAAGCAAATATATATAAGCAATGTAAAAATTGATTATGTGAACATAATAATAAAATCTACATTACTCTGAGGAGGTTAATAAAGACAACAGTGAAATCATACTATACTAATGTCAGGAAGAAAAAGGGAATGTCCTTAAGTCTTGCAACTCTTCAGAAAAAGAATCCTAAGAGAATACTCTGAAGGATCTTGCCAATAAATTTGATTTAAACAAATCAAGGTGAAAGAATTTACTTTATTTCCAATATAAAATACAGTAATTAAGACAGGAGGGCAGAATAGAGAGTTCAGCTAATAATCCACAATAACCATGAACCTATGATTTATGTGAAGTGTGGCACTATAGAGCAGTGCTAAAAAGATGATGGGTTCCGTAAATACTGTGGGGCAATTGGCATGTACAAGGACAAGATAGGAATGATCCCAAACTTAAATTAGGTCCAGATGGACAGTAGACTTCAAGTGGCAAAAATAAGCATATACATCAAATTTTAGAAAGAATATAAGAGACTACCTTAATAATTTGGGGGTAGGAAAAGATTTATTAAATAAGAAAAAAAAATACCCAAAAGAAAATTTTTAGAAAATTGAATACATTAGAATTAAGAAATTCTTATTATGGATGAAATGATAGGCTATTTGACTTTGTGACTTTTGCTTCAGAAAAATTTAGTGGAAAAGATTAAGTGTAAGCAAGTTTAAACAAAAATGGGCATAAATTGGCAATCACTGAGATTGTGTTATGGATATCAGGTGGATTATTGTACTTTTTTTAAACTTCCTTATATACGTTAGGCGTCACAAAAAAAACTTGTGTAATAATTGAAAAGGAAATAATCCCAGATGCTTATAAACTTTGCTAAACTATTAGAATTTAATGTGCAAATTTTTCCCCAAATAATCCTCACAAACAAAATAGTTTCACTTACTTTGTAGCCTCACTAAAACTGTCTACTTTGGAGCTTTTAATAATATATTTTATACAGTCAAAACCTGCAATTTATTATTTTAAGCATAAATATTCTCCTGGTCACTCAGTAAATTAGCTCTTAGTCTCTTCTCCTACCCAAGGATATGTGACCATACAACTTTCTTTCACATTCTACAAATATATATTCAAATCATTTGATAAATCAAGTAAATACTACATAAGACCTAGCTATAACATCAATAATACTGTAGGATTTTACAGCAACATTTCAAACAGTTAAAATGTATTGTTTTCCATTTCTGGCTCAATATGAACCTCATCTATCTATTCTACGTCTTTCTTATCTGCTGGATCTTGCTCTTTTGGGAGAGATCATTTTAGCCTGTACCATGGTGTAAAACAATCCAACGTGTTAACACATGGATTTCTCCACTGAAATCCCTGATTAATAAAGCAAAATCTAGCAAAGAAGAATAGTTGTAATAAAATATAAAATACAGAATAAACAAATTCTGCAGCAAAGTGTGAAAGGATTTTTAGATTTGTGGTTTAGTGGAATTGTAATCCATATAATTCTCTTGGCAAACTACACTAAGCTTGCTAAAAGCAGCAAACCAATTAATGCTACCTGGAAGTGATTACCAACCCGTGATTTAGGAATGTACTCCCAAGGATTGTGACAAATGGTCTGTACTATTCTACATAAGCCATATCAGCTTTTATGTTTATACTTGTACCTAAATAATACACACCTATCTACAGGGAGATATATGTGCCTCTCTTTTCAAAAAGTAATATTAAACCAGAAGTAACCTTAGAAATGCTATAGTTCAATTAATCCATTGTGCAGGAAGAGAAAATGGTACCTAAACAGGTTATTTATAACTTCCATTTTCTTGAGAGTCAGCAAACACACACACAAAAGCACCTGCTTATCTTAAGATAGGTTTTAAAAAGCTAATGTTTCTAGAGGTTTATTTAATATATTACTAGTAGCTATTATTTATATTTGAGTGTTATAAAATTATCCTATAAAGATAAAGATCACCTATCTCTCCAGATATTTGTCTAATTTTCAACTCTATTGCTTGCCAAGCTTTGTGCTAGTTGTTGGAGTACAAAACTGAATATGTCAGAGAAAACCCTTCTAGTTATAAATAATAGAATATCCAACTCAAAATACTGAATCCAACTTAAATAATGAAAATTCAGGTTTAGAAAAGTAGTGGGAAAAATTGGAAGATTTCTGTACATCATCCTAAGTAATATGAACTTTATCTTCCAATCAGAGAGGACCTAAAGAGATATTTCAACAGAAGGGTGATAAGATCAGCTATATCTGATAAGTGTGAGTGATTTTTTGAATAAGTGTTAAGAAAATATTAAAGGAAGATTGGTGAATGGAGAAAACAGTATCCATGAAACCAGTTGCAATCTTTTTTTAATAATCCATATGAAAGAGGTAGGCCTTGAAATAAGGCAGTGATACTTCATGTGGAGGTTAAGTACTACATGTGAAATATACAAACACAATAGAATTCACAATTTACTGTGTTGGAAATTTGTGTACTATATCGTGGGAAAGAGAATTTCTCTTGGGCTTTAGCTGTTATTAATAGACTGTAGGTTTTTTTATTATAAGGCAGATCTAATTTAGAATGTTGAATGAGATACGAAAACTTTAAAACATTTCTAAGTGGTTAGAATATACTGCCAGAATTTTATCTGCTTCTAACATATAACTATAAAATCCCATTGCAAAAATAGAACATTCTTAAAGCTAGACTGCTAACAATGTGTATCTATGAGTTATAAAGAAATTAAGGCCTGGGAATAAATAACTTAAAGTAGTTAAAAATAAATTCAATCATATTATAAATATGATAGGAGACATACATGTTCAGCATGAAATTCACGTAAGTGTATATTATTTTTCAAAATATTCTTCTAGGCTCTTGAAAAAAAATAGGG